CTGCAATCTAACATTGAGCACACGAGTGTGTCTGGCTTTTCTAGCTGTTTCTTACTGAAGTGGAGAAAGCAGTTATTGGAAACCTTTTTTTTCTCTTTGGTCACCTTTTGTGATTAAATATTTCATTCAAATATTTCAGCACTTGCACACTTGGGTTACTGCAGCAATCCTTTTTGTTATCCTCTCATTCTACCCTTTTATTTAGCTCAGTAATACGTTATTAAACCGCACATTAAGGCCTTGTAATATTTTAGTGGGAACCTATTGCTGCAAGTTGAGCATGTCTGCTGCTTTTTAACCAGACCTGCTGTATTGCACCTATAATTTGCTAAGGGGGAGAGGTTAAACTGACTAGTAAATGCCTAATCTCATCTCCTTCCACAATCCAGTCCATCCCATCTCATTCCATCTATTCTTCCCTCTTTCCAGGACTCCCCGAGGATCTTCCCGCCCTCATCCAGCTCTGTCTGCTCTGTTTGCAGGGTCAGTGGGTTTGCCTACAGAGAGGTTTGGACAGGAGGAGAGGGATAAAGGGGTGTGGCATGTTGACAAGTGTCTTTGATCACCGTGGGGGTTACAATCCAGTTTATTCCACCTGATCAACACTGTCTTGACCTTGTGGTCCCACACCCAGCAGAGGAGCAACTGAATCTGGGGCTCAGGGGAGGGGCAAAGGGAAACCACCAGATTTTCCCTTTTCCCATCTTAACTGTCCAGACTTTGTTTTCCTGGGGTCATTCTGGAACTTTTATAAATATTAATACAAATAATAACACCTTAGCTGTAATCCATTGTCATTTTAAGATTTGATATATGGGATAAAACAGTGCTTGAATAGTACTAAATGACTCATTATGAAACGTGTTATCCTTGAATTACCTTGAATAAACAGCATTAACAAAATCTTAACAAAATGCAGCAAAAGTCAAACTCAAAACGAGCATCAATCACTAATTTTCTTCCTTGTCCTAATTACATTTCAATGTTTCTCATTTGTCTGCATGCTGTCAAAGCAAATGACTTCTGGACTTTTGCACAGCATCCATCTGTACCACTAAAATATTTTAAAATGTATTTATACATTCTTATTTAAATTTAAATGTGTAAAAGATTGTTTTTGATTGAAAATATGTGAAAAAGAAATTACTCAGGTGTTTAAAATCACAACACTTGTGGCACTCACGTTGTACCAGCAAGTTCATTAAATGTACGCTTGCTGCCATCTGCTGTTGCTCCAGTCAGTCTTTTTCTTTTCTTTTTTCTTTTTCTTTAATGCATCAGAAAATCAACATTTTGATTATGCTTCTAGAACTAAAGAATCTTTGATAACTGCCTGACATTTTCACTATGAAATTAAAAAAAAATCCTAGTTCATATGGTGTTTAGTGTTATTATTGGTAATACATTTTCGTAAACTGCAAATATATAGTCTATCAATAAACCCCGTCATTGAAACTGGTCCACACTAGAAAAGAGTTCACAGAACTCTAAATGTTGTTTATGTCTAGAATTTGCTAAATCTTTTTTCTTTAGTTCCAGTAAGGATTTTACAGAATTGAATTAGGTCCTATTGACCACCAGAGGGCGCCAAAGCGCCATAAAAGACTACATGTTCAGTAGACGGTTTTCTGTGATTTCAGGAAAACACAAAGTAAGTAAGTAAATATCTTCAAAGCAAGAGTGTTTTCCAGGTAAATGTCAGAGGATACGTACCCATCTGTAATTATCTGGTGCTGGTTTCAGTCACATGGATAGTGTTTGGTTTGTTTGTGTTCCAGAAATGAAATATCTCAAGCTTCAAATGCCATATCACAACGTTTAGCACTTTCCCTTTTGCAAAACCCTTTGCAATCCTCTGGTGCATCCCCCAATTTAACATCTATGTGCAGATATAAATAAATCTAAAATGACATAGAGCAGTTCCAAGAATCATTGAGATGCCAAAGCAAACAAATGCTGTACAACATAAATTGATGTCTTTACATTTGTCTTCTGTCTGTCTTTGTCCGACATTTAAAAAGAAAAGGCAGGACATTCACCTGCAGGGTCAGTAGAGCAATAGAATCCTTGGTCAGCTGAAACGTGAAAACATTTGTTTTTCCATTTTGTTAATTAGCTATTTGGTCCTTGGAGACTAAAAGGCAAATCAAGTCTGAAAATAGCAGCTGGGCCTTTGGAAACCAGAGGTAATGTCTAATGCCTGTCCTCAATACATTCAATTTGCTCTTATACCAACCCATTAGAGCTGAGGGCAATCACTGCAACCCCATCGCTTCCCCTGGGAGCCTGTTACTTGCTCAGTACTCCCCCAACCATCCATAAAGGATTTGCCCCTGTAACCATCCCCAGTAACATGGTACCTTCCAATCATTGCTTTGTATGTACCTTCCAATGCACACTTTAGACAGCAGGTGCATGAGTGATGTGGCAATATTGTAGCATAAAAAGTGTAAAAAAGAAAAAGTAAGCCAAGAGGTGGCACGGCTGAGAACTCTCCTGCAGAGCATCATAACATACTTGGACCTGTTTTGTTGTGAGTGGGTGGCCATTTCATTTGTGCTAATTCAGGAGGAAATGTGCTCTCTGAAAGATGAATTTTTCACTTAAAGGCTTAAAAGACCTATTTGCATTTCTAAATGTTTTTTTTTTCTACATGCATTTCCTCTCATAGTGGCAGCATCTGAACTGAAGTGTTCAAAGATAAAACGAGGGTGTGAGAAAATAGAACCACAACTTTAACAATGTAAGTTTACACAGTTCACTTCTGACAGATGTGTGCATTTACGCCATCTGCTAAATTCTCTTGAATTTATTATAAGCAGCAAAACTGAGTTCCATCTAGAGCCATGAAGTGGCTCTTTTGGTTTCAACCATTTAAATCCAGGTCTCTCCAAGCGCAGCCTGTGGGGAGGGAGGCCAGCGACATTGACAAGCCATATCAAGTCATATTCTGGCTTTCTACAGTCATCACAACTTTTGAAAACCCATAATTAAAATGCACAACCTTATAAAAACACAAGCACGGATGGTCTAAACTTGTAAAATTACATCAAAGCATGAAAGTGGTGCATATGGATGTGATGCTTTGCTGATTTGCCGACTTCAGATTCAACATATGCAAAAGTCATCTGACAAGAACTTAGGGGATTTTGTGTATGTGCATCAGTTTGTGTGTGTGGGAGAGAGTTATGTTTACTCTTGCCAAAACCACACAGGCTCTGCTTTTGCAGGTGTAGTTCTTCAACAAGGAAACAAAAAAATGTCACTATTGATTTTTAAAAATCAAGTAAAAATTAAGTAGAAGAAAGACTCTAAGTGCATCCCCCCTACTCTCTACTTGTTTCATGTGTTGCATTTTTGTCATGACTGTGCTGCTTTTGCAGGCAGCAGCAGAGGTGACTGGGCTGCGCACTCGACCGTGTGCAGTGACACACTAAACCGGCAGAGAGACAAGCAGGCAGATACAATAGAAATTAATTCAGCTTGTTAAAGTGCAGCTGTCTGGTCAGCACTGAGCAGGTGTCACCCCTGTCATCCCCCACCCAACTTCACTCTCCACATTCATCTATTCATTTGCACTCCCCTTCCCCCATACAACCCTCTAGCTTGCTATTATAACTATCAACAGCATTTCAGTCATAAAACAACAAACAGCCATGTACTATACGACCTGTTTTACTACACAAGTAATAAATAAGTAACATAATAATTCATAATTTGTCCATTCTTGCATCTTTCTAACTAACACCTTCCTCTTTCCCTTCGTCCAGCTCCTTGTTGCTTTATTCTAGTGTGAGACCTCCCCCAGGCAGACATGAACCTACAAAAGAATATGTTAAAAACCGACTAAAACAAGCTGTTATGTGAGTGATATTTTGAGTTAATGAGGCAGTTGATGGTGCCATAAATTCTTCTGCAGGAAGAATTTAATGCATTTCATGTACGATGGCAGAAAAAAGCCAGGAATGATCTGAACAAAAGGGGAAATGAATTACTGAACTCATGCTTAGAAGCTGAGGTTGTTTCGGTGGAAAAGTCTGCTGTTTGCATTCATGTCGCCAGTTTTAGCAGTGATCTCTTCCCTTATCCTCATGACACTAACAGATTTTATATTTGATGCACTGTCATTCTTATTTTCTGCCGTAGATAACACATAACTCTAAAATGCAAAAAAACAGGTTCACTCTACAAATTCAAACTGAGCAGATGGGAGGGTTTGTAGGTCAATTCTTTGATGTTTTGGGGGAATTTAAATAACCCATGGACGAGGTTACATTCTTCCAAATAGCATTTAATGAGCGAATGCATATTTTATTTAAGACATTTAATAAATTACCTTAAAACTTGCACTGATTTCACATGAAATGTAAATGAAATATCAAACACTTTAAGTATTTTTTTTTATAAAAAGTGTTTAGAAAGCTTTAGAACATATGTGATATACAGTATGGAGATAAAAATGTACAGAAAACACAGACAAACAAGAACCCAGGACAGGATGGCTTTGTGACAGGACAGATTTTAATTCAGTGAAGTCTTCATTATGATTCTTAGTTCATATTTCTTATGAAATCCCAGCAAGGCGAGGAAAAATACAAAGCTACAGCACATTTTCTATCATTTCCTTCATCAAAAATTACGTTAAATTTAAAGTTAAATGCAAATTAAAGTTAACCTGTGCATAATTTCAGATATAAAACCTACACACAAACGGTTCTTTAAGGTGAAACAGAGAAAGAAGAAGGTGACATAGAGGTTCCCAACTTTCCGTCGGGCCTCCAAAGCCCAGAACCCCTCCCTGTCTTCAGCATTTACCTTCATCTTATTGCCCTACACCCGTTCATTTGAGTTGCCTGCTCTCTCCTCCGCTGAGCATCCTTTTTTACAGCTATTCTCCATCTCTTTGCCACCTGGCCCTCTCTCCCCTCCCTTCGTTCCTCGTTGCATCTGTTGTCTTTCCATCTTACACTCTACCCCCACCCCTTTCCCCCTTCCTCCCCGCCGGTGGTGACCGTACACCGACCGGATCACAGACTCTTGTTGTCAGTCACTTTCCCGGCGAACAGACGGCAGCAGCAACAGCAGCAGGCGGAGCGGAGACGGCAATCCCCCCACACGCACACATCTACCCCACCCCTTTCAAAAAACAAAAAAAAAAAAAAAAAAACGGAGGCAGGAGGGGAACAAAACCTTGCGGGACACCTGTGCTGCTGGATTCCCTCTTTTGGGGCTTTCATGAACATTATTAGAAACCTAAATTCACACCCAGTTTTTGGGTTATGTGGACGAGCAGCGGAGATCAGTAAAACTGGGATGTAGACGCAGAAAAAAGCGGCCAAATCTGCTTCGATTGGACTGTGGCGAAGCCGTCGGCGGCACCACCAGTAGCACCAGCACCAGTATTGGTCGGTCGGCGGATGGAGATGCGTTGTGAAGGCGGAGGGATGATGATGATGATGATATAGCAGGTTGCTGCAGGGTCGTGCCGCATTGCCTGGCCGCCGCGAGCGACGCCGGGGAGTCGGTGATGCTGTCATCGTCATTGTGCCACAGAAAGAGAGAGAAAGAGAGGAGAGGCTCTGACATGGAGGGAAGCGGATGTCTGTCGACTCCGAGCTCAGGCCGCCCGGATCAGCAGGTTGGATGTACCGCCTGAAGGCTGGAGGACCTGATTCATGATATACATGGTGGGAAATTGTGATAAAGTTGAATTCTTTGTGGTGGAACTGATTTTTTTCTGTGCGCAAAAAGTGAATGGCCCATATGTTGATTATGCATCACAGGAGCATCATAGCAGCTGCGTGTGTGCCAGTTCAGGGTGGATTACGTCTACAGAGCAGCAGGCCTCCATCTGAAGTCAGCTACTGATCAGGAAAGCGTGAAGAAAACACTTCAGTATACTTTCTTACCCTGTTGCTGCTCCGGGGGTAACCATTTGTACTGGTGTTTCATTGGAAGCTGGTGTGGTGTGATCCCCCGTGGAGGGACAGCTGTTGCAAAAGATGACTCACTTACAGGCTGGTTTGTCTCCAGAGACCCTGGAGAAGGCCAAGGTAGAGCTGAAAGAAAACCCTGAGACTTTACACCAGGACATCCAGGAGGTCAGGGACATGATCATCACCAGACCGGACATCGGGTTCCTCAGGACAGACGATGCGTTTATCCTCAGATTCCTCCGAGCCAGGAAATTCAATCACTTTGAGGCGTTCCGGCTGCTGGCACAGTATTTTGAGTACAGACAGCAAAACCTAGACATGTTCAAGAACTTGAAAGCAACTGACCCGGGCATTAAGCAGGCCCTGAAGGATGGTTTCCCTGGCGTGCTCTCCAATCTGGACAGATATGGCAGGAAAATATTGGTCCTGTTCGCTGCCAACTGGGACCAGAGCAGGTAACAAAGAGGGGTTGTTATTAATGAGAAGAAAAAAGGGCTTTTGGAGAGTAGAAAGCAGTGTTTTAATCTTTATAAAGTGGAGACTGGTTTATGGAACTGTCTATTCAGCACCACACAGCTGTTGTTTACTAGGAAACTACAAGAACTCTTTAACCAACTAAATAATCTTTATGGAAATATTAAAATAAAAGTATGAAATCCAAAATAATAAAAACACATGTAGCTAAATATCCATATATATCACCCATACACTGTGTAAATGCTGAGCTCATTTCCTGGCAAGGATTTTAAGATGGGAGGACATTTAGTGAGGTGGCCCACTGATGTTGGACTAATTGGCTCAGGGTCAGCATTCCAGTTCATCCCAAAGGTGCTGTCTGGGCTGTGTCCAGTCACAGCACACTGTCTGCAGCGTGATGATGAAGCGTAATACCTTTTTTTTTTAATGAGGACTGAGAGGTAGCCTATCCCAAATCACAAATCACAGCCTCACACCAGAGGTCTGTGGACAGGGGGGAGGGTGTACAGTACAGTTTGTACTTATTTATAATTTATTTCAGCATAAACACACAATGTCAAATATTCTCAAGTCTGGCTGCATGGTTTTTAGTCTTTTTACCCAAGCTGGGGAAATGGCTCTGGTCACCTGGTCTACAGTTTTGCCCCAGACTTAAATATCCAAACAACTATAAAAAAAACAAAACAAAAACTGAGCTGTAATAGCTTAGCAGGCCATTGAAGATGTGACTGTATGTCTCCCTCAGGATGAACTGTTTTCAATTTGATTTCGATTTTGGTGATCAAATCTTTATTTTGTAGATACAACACAGGCAGAATTTTGTGTTCCTTGCAGTTTACTTTGGTTTATCACCAAATAATGTCAGGCAGTAAACTAAAGTTACACTGATCAGTTTTATTTTTGAATGTCTTTGACTGATATAAGATTTATACAGGCTCTGTTGCATTTATTGCTAAGTAACAAAGTTAGCATACTACTAATATGTTCAAACTAAACAGTGAATATATTCAGCATGTTTGCATGACTGTAAAGCAGAACCTTCCCATCCAGTAAAAAGCAGTTTAACAGACACCAAAAAGACTTTTATAGATGTCTGAAAAATACTAAAATTAGTTTTTACAGGCATTTTCTCACTTTGTTGACATGGCTACAAAAATGTTTACATCTAAATTTGGTTAAAATGGTACATCGTTCTCTGCAATCTCCTCAGCAGATTTAAACTGTTTCTCGGGGCCAGTAATAATTTTTTTAAGTTTGCTTATTTGAAGAAATAAAAAAGGCTAGGTGTGATCTGTATGTCTAAATAATGGTCTAAACCAAATTTAACCCAATTTTAGTTTCAGACCTTCTGTATAATCAACAGAGAATTACAGAGTGGGTAACCATGAGTTGATGAAAAGCTGATGTTAGGTTGAATTTAGTTCTTTGCAATGGCCATAAAATATATATTTTTTTCACCTTTCACTTTCCAAATAAGTTTAGTTTCAATGTATAAATACATTTAAATGGCTGGTTGACCAGATTAAACCCAGAAAACAACACCCACGTCTCGTGTTCTGGGGCCTTGTCTTGTTATCTTATGACGCCTTGAAATGAAGTGTTGGTTTCTTGCACGTGTTTGTCACATCCTGTATTCATCTTATGCCTCATGTGCCCTATACTGTAAATCATCTCAAGACCTTTCAGGACCTGGCTTATTCACCCACTGTGGCTTATTTCAGGGGAAAATCTTTGTAATTACAACTATCAGATAGTAACAGGTTTAAATAGAACATGGTAAATGGACTGGTTCTTATATCGCGCTTTTCTACTCTACCGGAGCACTCAAAGCACTTTAGGCTTTAGATATGAATGTTTACGCTTTAGATAAAGTGGTGTCAGAGTACTTAATTCAGTAACATAGGGGCCGTTAGATACCCCTCATTATTCTGTGTTTATATCCTTACAATTGTAGTCAATAAAATAACAAATTAATGTAAAATTAAGTGCTGAAATTACATTTCCTCAACATTTTAGGGATGAATCTGCAGACAGCATTTGTGTATTTTTTTGTTATATTTTTTCTTTAGTCTGTATTACTGTCACTATTCATTCACAGAGTCTAGTGCTTTACTGTCTCATAAATAACAGCACAGACTGAGCCAGACTGGTTCAAGGCTAGAAACTTGACTCATATTAAAGCTCTAAGTTGCAGTTTATTTGGCTTCAATATAGAATCGGGCTTGTTTATTGTTTTGGATATAACCAGAATCTGTAGAGACGTCCACCATCTGTTCCATATGTCTGATTACACAACAAATAATTTACCGTGTATCTAATAAAAAACAAGGAAATAACAATAACCCGACAGATCTCGTTCGCTTTCGCATGACTTTGATCACATAAACTACACATAGTGTGATAAAACCTTTATGTTTTAGTGTGGTGTCAAGTAGAAAAAGTTTGCAAGTTTTAATTGCATTCATAAGATTAAAATAAAATAAATGATTGATCGCTCCTCTCTGAACATGAATCAGTTTGTGAAATCTGTCTGGGTGTTTCATGTTATGCTTTTGTTTCTGTCCAGTGCAGTTTAGAAAGACTTAAAAGCTATGTTGGATATTCTGGATATATTATTAGTAGTCTCAACTAGTAGACGCCTCAACTTGTGCCCGCAATTATGAAAAGGACATCTGTTTTGCTGCCTGATAAGCTAATTAAAAAGTACATTATCTGTAGACTAAGGCAATAGGTTTCTTGATAAGGAAGCAGAGAAAGATGAAGAGCGAGATAAGATAATGAAGGGCAACAAAAAACAGGAAAAAAAGCACAAGTGTTAAATAGGTACGTGAAGCATCTGAGGTATCAGCTGGATGAAAACCCACAGGGATGGACGAAAGTAGCACCAGGGACCACACAGTCACCAATGACAGCAATTAAAATGTCCCTGAAAACACCCAGCAGATACATTTGAGCTTTTTCACAACCATTTTGTGGCACAAAGGAACTAAAGACCTATAATTAATTCATGACCAAATTAAATTGAGTGAAGGTTATCAATAAATTTTACTGACAAAGTTGTGTCAGGCTGATTCAGAGATACCGTCTACAGCTCTTTCATGAGATTTATGAATGAGGGCAGTTCAGTACTCTTGTCTTTTAACTGATTCAAGTAACATTTTTTATTTAATAAATTCTTTAGTCAATGTTAGCAAATGTCAAAGGCTTTATCAAAGTTTGTCATGAGCGAGTTTGATGTCCGCGGTGTTGACCCGTCTAATCAGAACTCAAACCAGAGATTTTTTTTTATCTTGCAATCAAATGCTGCAATAAATCCTCGAATTTGAGAAAGTGTAGCTGGGAGATGTTTGATATTTTCAACTTTTAACTTTACAAATGTCCTTCATCTCCTTAGCTCGTTAAACCATCAATATATATACTTTTTTTCATTTCTCTTCATGACTGTAAAATCTGTTCTGCTATTTTGTTAAATTAAAAGCTATCTTACATTCGTCTCAGATACACGTTTGTGGACATACTGAGGGCTATCTTGCTGTCACTGGAATCTATGATAGAAGATCCCGAGCTGCAGGTCAACGGCTTCATCCTCATCATTGACTGGAGTAACTTCACCTTCAAGCAGGCATCCAAACTGACTCCCAGCATGCTGCGACTGGCGATTGAGGGACTACAGGTAAGGAGCTGGGTTGGATCTGACTCTGACTCCAGAGCTGCAGTTTGCATCCCGAAACATGAAAATGATTTATTTGATCCTGAACCAGAATTGTTCTTAAATCCTGTACGAAAAGCTTTAGTTTCATTTTGTTTCACACTTTACAATCATATCGAATGTCCTAATATGTTAGTGGCAAATTATTCTTATTTCCTGAATATATTTGACACTAGAGCAAAAAGTTAGCAACTTATACATCGATTAACATAGTAAATAGGATAAATATCCTATATTCTAAGCTTCTACAATTATAGTCTTGTCCCTGACCAACTTTATTTTCCCTCTTCTGTAAAATCGTAAGCTTTACTTTTCTCTAAAGTACTATTTTTGATTTTGCTACAGCACCGGAACAAACCTCCAGCCCTCTTTCCATCATCCTCTCTGCAGTCGAAATGTTCCACTTAGGAACAAGTCAAGCACCGTGTTAAAGCTGTGAGCTTCTTTAAATCGCATGAGGAAAAAAATAATGACATTTCCATTTTGATTACGCACTGCTGGGTATTTCTTCTTCTTCTTCTTCTTTTCAAGCCTCATTTGGCAGGTAGATGATGTAAAAAAAAGTGATTTTTACTGGTTGTCAGTTTGCTAATAAGAGGTGGTATTCCAGCTTTTATCGTGTAAACAGAGAAATGAAGTGAGATATGACATTTATATTATTATAGTTACGATTTTTTTCATGGCATGAAAACGCATTAGTCTTCTTAGCCATCACAAACACCTTTAACGTTATTACTGAAATAGGTTACGGGAGAAAAGACTCACAGGCAGCATATAGCGCTGTCCTCGTGTCACTAGCCAAACCCGAGAGGAAAGGTCTTGCTTATTGCTGTGTTTGGGTGACAATTACTCGTGTTGTGGTGACATAAATCTGTCTGTAGTCACATTAGGGGATTTGTCTTCTTTATGGGGACAAAGTGCCCATAACATACATCAAAGTTTAAGATAAGGTTAGGACAAAGGGTTGGTAAGTAAGAGTTACTTCTGAATGAACTAAATGAAAGTCAATGTAATGTTCTCTGAAATCTTGGAAAAATTTGTGTGTGTGTGTGTGTGTGTACATAGATAAGGGAGGTTGTTATTGCTTTCTCGACATCTCTGTGAATCATCTGCCAATTTGTGTTGAGCCCCATTAGTCAAGTGAAATCTAAGGGGAAGTGTTTCTTGAGGGAAGTGTTGAGTGAGACGCAGCGTGGTCTGAGAAATTACCTGATATGTCTGTGATGGATACCAAAGTGTCACAACTGCATCGTTTGAGTTTTACACTTAATTTGGATCCTGTGGTTTTTTTCTTGCAAATTCCCTGAGGGTAAAACAAGCACGACAGAAGCTTTCCGTATACCTCTGTGAGAATAGAGTGTTTACCTTCCAAAAATCGAATGTTGCTGCTGATAAACAGGACCTGCATCAAACCCTCTTTTGAATATAAAGAAGGCTGAGAGTAATGACGGTTATCAAATTACCTTACCTTTGTAGTTGGTACTGTGTAAAAGGCCTCCATAGCAACAGCTGTTGTTGTTTGGTCCATAGGAGACTTGTTGGTCGTGTTACCTGTGATTTTAGGGGTTTGAGCATGATGACAATATATATGTTTCACTTCAGAGAGAAATAAAATGTAGAAATCATCCAGTGCTGTAATGACTGGTGACTTTTCGCAGCTACATTTTGAATGATTGAACCGGTGCTTCTGATATTCTGGAAACCAAGCCGAAAACAGAAGATTTTCTTTCAAATAATGACAGGAAACATTGATCAGTAACATGAAATTCTCACTGTATAATTTACACTCAGCGGACAGTTTGTTAAGTTCACCTTCCCAGATCTGCTTCAATTCTTCATGGCATAGATTCAAAAAAGTGTTGAGCCACATAAACGCTGGCTGCACATCCACAATGTGAATCTCCCATTTCACCACACCCTAAATGTGCTCTGTTGGATTGAGATCTAGTGACAGTGAGTTTGAGTACAGCAAACTCATTGTCAGGCACAACCAGTTTGAGATGATCTGACCTTTATGACATGTTGTGTTATCCTGCTGAAAGCAGCTGTCATAAGATGGGTACAGTGTGGTCAGAAGGGATGGAAACAGTCAGCAAAAATACTGAGGTAGGCTGTGACATTTAAACAATGCTCAGGTGGTGCAAAGGGCCCAAAATGTGCCAAGATCCAACATCAGAACTGGGCAGGATGGGTCCATGCTTTCATGTTGTTTAGACCACAGTCTGACTACCATCCAAATGTCAGCAGAAATCAAAACTTCTCAGACCTGACAATGTTTTTCCAAGCTTCTCTCATCCAGTGTTGGTGACCCAGTGTTGCAGCTTGAGTTTCCTGTTCATAACTGATACGTGTGATGGTGTGGACTTTACTGCTGTAGCTCATCTTCTTAGAGGTTTGATGTGTTGTATGTTAAAAGATGCTCTTCTGGTTGTGATGAGTGGTTATTTGAGTTACTGTTGCCCTCTTATCAGCTTATAACAGTCTGAACAGTCTGAACTGTTTACATGCCTAAAAGCATTTTGTAACTGTTGTGTGTATTTACGTGTATATTAGGGTGGTTAGGGTTGCAGTGGTCTGGTAATGTTAATATCATGGCTTTGTACCAAATTATACAGAATTGTACACTTTTTTGTATCATTATACACATTATAATGATAGAATTAATTAATTAATTATCATTTACCCTTTGCTTTTTCTTATGAATTATGTGTTGGAGATAGTCTCAGGGTTCACTGGTCAGTTGTTTGGTCAACATACTTCCATCTGGCCAAATTCTCATTGGTCTAAATATAGGTGACTAGTCTTATTGTCACTAGTTGGCAAAATCCTGCTATTTTGCAAACTAATCAGCAATTCTTCTTAGAAGAGACTGAACTATGCTCCCTAAAGTCACATTTCTACTAATCCCCACAAAGACAAAGACGTTAGCAAAGTGCATTTCTTCTTTAGCCGGATACTTTGATGCTCCTTTCCACCTCCTCCACTTTCTGTAAACATTAGTTTTCTGCTGTCAGCACACAGTTGATGTGGTATGTTGGTGAGGGAAAAATCCTCCCTTTTTTCAAGGGGAGGAAATAACTGTAGACTCAAGCCAGTGTATCACTGTGATGAGTCCATACATAACACATTTCTGACGGCTCTCCAGACACAGATTAGAGCCTGAATTATTGATGGGAGCTATTAGCTGAGCCCTGAGTCATTCCTAACTGTGCGACTGCTTGGCCGAATGGATGTTCATCGCTTGGTGCAGAAAACAACGAAAATAGGTGCGATAAGGTGGTTTAATTGGTTTTACTTTGAGAAATAAAATGCAAAAGGAAAAACTAGACACTGAAATCGAAATGGCTGTGGTGATCAATTCAGTCTTATTTTTCTCAGGATATGAAAAGAAGAATATAATTTCTGATGGCCTATGGCCTTTACTTTCCTATTGTCAGCATTTTTTTTTAATTACCGCAAATGCCATAAAGTACCAATGTATCCTGCGAACAGTTATTGTGTTTGTGCATGTGTCCCGTGCCTCATATGCTTTATTTCTTTGTCCCACTGAGCTACATTAAAGCCTAAACAATATTAAAAAATCCATCATTGTGCCACCTTAATTAATATGTTCCTGAATAACACGAGTACACTCTTACACTTGTTTGTTTTGACTCAGTCACACAAACAAACGCTGTCCTGGTGTGTTGAATATTAATTGGAGCCACAAATACATATTAGTTCACAGCTAAAAATACATAGGACCCTACACACGTAGTTTTCTCTGTTTTTGTAAATTTTGCTAAATGATAATAAGGAGAATACACATACCACTACTTAAAACCTGAACTACATACTTTTCTTGTTTAAAAGTCAGAAGACTCCAGTATACTCGGAGCAGAGGGCCTTTTAAATGAACCCAAATTCAAAAGCTAATAAAGGATCGTGCTGCAAGTTAGGTGCATATAAATTGCATTTGTGGCACAATTTTCCCCAAATAATAATTTTTAATCCAAATAAACACCTAGGAAATGCATTAAATATTACATTTCAGCCTCTGTACAGCAGAATTAAGCCTGAATCATTCCCACACACTCAGAGAGAGATCTGAATACTGTTAAACAGTCAGTGAGTCACTTCAGTCTGAGCAGGTTTGGTTGTGAATCTTTAAACCATTAAGTGCACTGAAAGCAGCTGACTCACACTAATGTACGGAGCTTTTTTGGGTGTGAGAATTTGAAGTAGTTTCAGGCTGATTTATGGTAAATGGTAAATGGCCTGTATTTGTATAGCGCTTTTCTAGTCCCTAAGGACCCCAAAGCGCTTTACACAACCTGTCATCCACCCATTCACACACACATTCACACACTGGTGATGGCAAGCTACATTGTAGCCACAGCCACCCTGGGGCGCACTGACAGAGGCGAGGCTGCCGGACACTGGCGCCACCGGGCCCTCTGACCACCACCAGTAGGCAACGGGTGAAGTGTCTTGCCCAAGGACACAACAACCGAGACTGTCCAAGCCGGGGCTCGAACCGGCAACCTTCCGATTACAAGGCGAACTCCCAACTCTTGAGCCACGATCGCCCCAAATTTACACCAAATGCATCCCTGAGTTAAACTTTTCTGCACGTCAGCAACTTCATACGCTGCTGTCCATGTTTCTCTTTGTTTCTAAAGACTTTTCAGTTCGTTCTGCAGGATTTTCTGACGTCGATATGAACTGACACCAACGAGACATGTAAAAGCAGCTACAAGCATGCAGTATCATTAGTGTTTTAGAGGAACTGTTATCAATCTCAAAACCAAAAGGGGTGAACGTTTGTTTATTTTAGGTTTTGGTTAATCTCTTGTTTTTCTTGCATGGTTTTCAGTAGTGCTGTGACCACAATTCACTGCATGTTCCACACTTCCTTCCTATCAGCTGAAAAACAGGCTGAATATGTAACTACGGCAAATCAATTCCACTTACCTTGAAATTAA